TTTGGACATTTAATTGTGGTGAGCTATCGAGTGGGGGATAGTGTCCTTTAATGTGATTCGTTCTGGGATAAATTAGCTGTCCGGTTAATAGTAATTATGGTAATTACTCACTGAATGCTTGATGGGTCAAGTGTCTGTGTAATTGTAAGTTAACGAGTGATAGTTGTGACAGATTAATTTCTCTGTGGGAGACAAGATTGTATTAACGTCAAGTACTTTTTTGCTGACTCACTGAATGAATTGACTCACTGCCTCACTGTTAATTGACTGCCAACAGCAGTCAATTAACGCAATTGTCACTGTTTTTATTAACATTATTAATTAGTCAATTGATTTTTGATCATCCAGGAGACTAAGTGTTAACGTAAGAATTTAATAGGGGATTCCTGGAGTTCCCGGTAACTAGTTATTGTGATCTCATTGCTGAGGGCTGCAGGAGTTTGTTATTGTTAATAGTAATTATTGAATTGTCTCCCAGAGGGCTGCGAGTAGTTTTTTTGTTTGCATTTAGTGAGTCCTCTGTGAACACTCCATATTGTTCAGTTAGTTCATTTATTCACCCGAAGCGACTACAGGTAGGATCCTGTGGTTACACTTAGCAGCATTAGACTGGAGTTTTTTGATACACATGGCTGTTGAATAGCTGTCGTTAATGTGTCACAGGATGGATTTAGATTTAGACAGGATGGATGGATTTCATTATTATATTTGTTGTTGTTGTAGTAGTTAGTGCTTGTTGAATAAATTGTTCAGTTAAGTTCAAAGTTGTCTTTGTGTTACACTCTGCAATTCAATTGATTTACAATTATTCTGCCCTTTACCCGAGATATTTTTTAAATTTGAGGCTATTTCTGGAATTCGAGCGCGATTAATGGCACCACACATCAAAGCAAATATGGTGTGAGAACCGTGACCTACACTTAATAGTGCCTTGTCACTTGAGTAGGTACACGACCTAGTGGATAGAGATTTTTCCCAAGTGAATCCTGGCGGTTGCTCCCGCCAGTTATTCTATGGCCTCCAGTAGGGAACGAGCTGCTTGCTACACTCAACGTGTTGGCTAAGCAGTCCTTTCAGCCAGAGGCCAATCTATCTTTTTCAAACAAAAAAGCAGATAGTGTAGATATTTAAAAATCTCACACCCACCTCCTTAGTCTACTATCTGCCACCTACTCGTTCTGCTGCCCACCCACTATGCCCATCTTGCTAATCATCTCACTACTGCCCGCCATCACATACTGACACCTGCCCAACCACTGCTGTCCACCTATCCACCCCATTTGCTGCCCGCCATGCTACTCATACATCCACTCACTCTCACCTGCTCTCCCACTCTCCCTCCACGTGTTATACTTGATTCTAGTGCTGGTGTTTCTGAAAGATTTTCTTTCCCGTCCCGACCATCCCTCCCCCCAGCCTCTCCGTCCCACTCACCTGCCATCCATCCATCCATCCACCCAGTTCCCCCACTACCCATCTATCCAGTTACCCCATCATCTATCCATCCAGTTCTGTCTACTATCCATCCATCCATTCTGTTCCCCCCCACCATCCATTAACTTTCCGAACGAACTCCGAAAAAGTTTGAAAAGAGGGCCGTTCGCTGCCCGAGGTTCCACTGGTCTTTAAATGTGAAGTGTTCATCGGCCACACTACTCTCTCTGCCTCTCTGAGAGGCTCCAGGTTCTGGCTTGTGGTCCCTGGTAAGTAAAAGGACTCCTGTGACTGATGACGCAAAACTAATATAGCACTATATCAGTTCGAATAGCTTCAGGGAGACGACGGGGCTCCCCATAGAAAAATGATCAAGTTCATGACAATTTTGTCTGCATTTAATATACTAACCATTCGACAGTTACAGTTTAGAAGTAATAATATATGCATTAATTTGGGATATATTATATCGAACACAAGGGGTAATACACAAAGAGATATAACCAACTACTCTGTGTATATGTTGTCTGTTAACGTTGGGTTTGTACTATGTTCATGACTGAGGTAAACTTGCTCAATGGTCAGTAAGCTCCTGTGATGGTTTTAATAAGACTACCATAGCTGATAGGCCTATCAGCAACACCAAACCAAACCAAACCTGTAGTACAGTGGCTTATGTTCTCGACTCACAATTGTTGATTCCAGGTTCAGTCCATGCGCAGGATAGAAATAGTTGGGCATTCTTCCTTTCAACTGATGCCGCTGTTCACCCTAACAGTATAGAGCTACACAGGAGCTAGACAACAGTTGTTGGGTTTCATCCTAGGGAAGGTCAGCAGTTCGGCCGAAGGGGAACCTTGATACAAACCCAAGTACAGGCTTACTGTCCTGTTCCGCGGAATTTAATTAAGTTTACAAAATTTAGTATAATTTTACACAAATTAATTTAAACATGTGACTGTTTTCACTTACCAGAAGTTGAGTGTTATATGCCGTCTCTCCGAGGTTCTCCACTTGGAAGGAGATCTCAATGGGCTCTGGAGCCATCAGTGTGTAGTTCCTTGGGCTTTGATAAGAAATATATTAATATATTACATTTTGATCATCATTTAGATGAACTGACAATAACAATAATTAGTTGTATTTATATAAATGAATGTATTGATTCATGCATGTATTAGCCATCTTTGTGCATGGTGCATAATGTGCGCTTAATAGATAACATACACATGGTGATAATTTATATTGTATACTTCGTAGAAAATTTGCACATTGTGGATTATGTATAGATGGTAAATAATGTACACATGTTGGATAATTATTAAAAAATGTTTAAGGCACACAGGGTGATTAAACATTTGGGATTTTATGTGACAACATTTAAAGTGTGGTGATTTAGATGTTTATTAAATATAATAAGGATACAGTAGTTGGGTGACGTGTCATAATAAATATTGACGAAGATGCTTGTTGTGTAGAATGGGGGATGACGCTGACCGGAAGCGGAGAGCTTTTGTGAGTGGAGCAGAGAGCTTGAGCAAGGCCGTGGGTAGAGAGCTTGAGCAAGGCCGTGGGTAGAGAGCTTGAGCAAGGCCGTGGGTAGAGAGCTTGAGCAAGGCCGTGGGTAGAGAGCTTGAGCAAGGCCGTGGGTAGAGAGCTCGATGGAAGGCGAGAGCTTAGAGCTTGAACAAAAGCAGGATTGGAGAACTCAAATACGGGGAGAGAATAGGTAGCTTTAATAAGGAAATAACTGTCTACTCCAAAACAAGGCTATACGGTCTTGCATGAAAGTTGGAACTAAACTCGTTGAGTGTTACATCATACGCTGATGAACATCAGTGGTGCTGGAGAAGATCTACTATATATCCAGTGTTTGTTACTGAACCACAATTGGAGTTAGATCCACAGTGCTACACTCCTGATCGGCCTATATCCACAATTCACCTGACCTTGTAATTACCTAAGTGTAAATACCTAAGTAGTTACAGGATGAGGGTTACGCTCGTAGTGTCCCTTTTTTCCAGCACTCATTGTCATATAATACTTTGGAACTTCTAACCGTTTTGGCCTCCACCACTGTCTCACCAAACTTGTTCCAAATGTCTACCACTCTGAGAAAGCAAATTTTCTTATATTTCTTTAGCAGCTTGGTTTAGTTAGTTTAAATCTATGAAATCTCGTTCTTAAAGTTCCAGGTCTCAGGAATTCTTTCCTATATATTTTATCGGTTTCCATTACTATTTTATATGTACTGATCATATCACCTTTTTTTCTTCTACCTTCTAGTTTTGGCATATTTAATGCTTCTAACCTCTCCTCGAAGCTCTTATCCTTCAGTTCTAGGAGCCATTTAGTTGTATGACTATGCACATTTTACAGCTTCTTGATGTGCTTCCTAAGATATGGATACCATACAACAGCTGTATATTCTAGCTTCGATCTAAGAAAAACAGCGTTGAATACAATGAAACTCCATTTTCTGGGTGAGCCCCGGAGACTACCTGGAGCTATCGGACTGATACGGTATATTAGTCTGGGGCATCAGTCAATTGGCGTTCAGTTTACCGGGCCCCACGAGCAAGAACCTGGCCCCCTCTGAGAGGCACAGGGAGCAATGGCCTATGGAAACACCCATGTGGGTGGTTGGGAACATTACATGTCTGCCCTCGACCGGGATTAGGCACGCACAATGGTAAGCATAACAAAACAGACCCCACTTGGTAAGAAATTGCAACCAAAGACCGAACAGAGAGGAAGAACTCCCCCAAATACTAAATAAACAGCAAACAATCAAACGACATACACCGCAGCCGTTCCACTTGTCTGCGCAGCCCTTCCCCACGCTGGCTACTCACACCTCCAGTTCGGGAACTGAGCATCAAAAGCGAAACTGAATCGCCGAGCGGAGGGAGGAAAGGAGCCAGTTAGCCTTCGGGGCTCACCCAGAAAATGGCGTTTCATTACTTTCAACGCTGGGTTTCTGTAGGGAGCCCCTTCAGCTCCCATGAGCTACCTAACCAAAGACAAGTAAAAGAGGGACTTACCCGGAGAGCGGCCACCCCGCACACATCAACTCGAAGTCGGGACAACTGGCTGCAACCTGTGACCTAAAGCCACACATGAATGACTGGGACCAAGAATATTGACCAGACGACGGACGGCCAGGACCCTGTTCGACCTCCAAAACCCTTTGCCCGAATGTAATTCCAAAACATGTTGCCTAACACGGCAGCCAAAACAGCAAACTTACAAACGTCATGGGCACGAGGGTAGACCACAGGCTGGCTAGACTTAATAATCCTGTAGACGACCAGGGAGATCCGAGCCCTGGAAGAGGGAACGCGGGAAACCTGGATCAACCTAAAGCGCGTCCCCGGCCACAGAAGCTGAGGCATGCAGATAATGGCGAAGAGCCACAACAGGACACAACATATGATGCACCCCCGGCCTGCCGAACCAAGCATCAATGAACCAAGCACCCCTCCCACAGGCCGCAGTCTCCTCCTTCGCCAGAAAAGAAGGAGACAGCTGCAAACGAACAAACCGACATCCAGGACCGAAAAGCAGAAACTCCTGCTCCCGAGGAGGGCATGAAGCTCACCAACCCAACCCCTAGAGGCCAATGCCAACAGAAACAGAGCCTTCGAAAAACAATCTTGAATCGAAGGGGTCACCACATACTGACCCCCGAAGGAGAAGACAGAAAAGAGAGCACCTGGTCCAAGGACGGACCAGGACGGCTCAGGCGGTGCATGAGCAAGCCGGAGGTGAAACAAAGCAAGAGAAAGCTTATGAAACGGGGCCAAAGTGGTATCCACTCCGAATGCAAGCTGAAACAGCTCCGCCAGCACAGCACGATAAGAGGTGACAGCATTGGGCATCAAATGACGATCCTCAAAAAGCCAAGAAAGGGCAAAACAACCTGATCAGAAATCGATGACAACTTACGAAGAGAGAGAAAAATGGCAAAATGAATGGCAGGAAACTTCTTACTGTCGTCGAGACGAGGCTCTTACAGGTGGGACACAATCAACGAAGCCACCTGATCACCATACCCGCGTCAAAAAAAAAAAACGTTGAATATAATGAAACTCCATTTTCTGGGTGTGACCCGGAGACTCCCCGAAGCTATCCAGGCTGATATGGATATATTAGCTTTTTGGCAACCGTCAAAGTGAATGGAGTTCGGTCCTACTGGGGACCATGAGCCAGAACCTGGCCCCCTCAGAGAGGCACAAGGAGCAATGGCCTATAGAAACCCCCTTGTTGTTAGAAGCATTCTATGTCTGCCGTCGACCAGGTCAGGCACCCAGAAAGGTAGGCACCCCAAAACAAACCCCTATTAAGGTGAAAATATTGCTGCCGAACGCCGATCTAGTGGACAGAACTCCCCAACTGAAAATTAGCAAACTAGCATGACGTCATCACATTGGCACAACGCTGTCTATACAACCCTCCACCTCCTTGAGAGGGGAAAGGAGAAGCCTCAGATCCTCGTGTTGGCGATCCACCCCCCAGTTCTGAGGCTGGATGTCAAAACACGCAAAAACACCACCGATTGGAGGGAAAGAGGGTTGCCGGGGAGCCTCTGGGTCACACCCAGAAAATGGCGTTTCATTACATTCAAAGCTGGTTTTCCGGGGGGAGCCCGTCGGCTCCCCAGAGGTAACTACCAAAAGATAACAGAAAATAGGGACTTACACGAGAGGCAGTCGGCCCACGCTCCTCAACCTGAAGTTGAGACAATTGGCTGCAATCGCCAACCCAGTGCGACACAGGATCTACGAGGCCCTGGAACATTGACAAGGTAGCGAGCGGCCAGAACCCTGTGCGACTTCCAAAAACCCTGCTCCCAAATGTCAACCCAAGACATGGTACCGAAGATGGCAGCCAATGCAGCAAACTTACGAACGTCGTGGGCACGAGGATAGACCACAGGCTGGCTAGACTTGATAATCCTGCAGACGACTTAGGAGACCCGCTACCTAGAACAGGGAAGAAGGGAAACCGGGTCAACCCAAAGCACGTCCCCGGCCATCACAGCCATGGCACGCAGAAAACGGTAAAGAGCCACAACCGGACACAACACATGATGCACCCCCGGCCTAACCAACTAAGCATCAACAACCCAAAGACCCCTCCGGAAAGCAGCAAACTCATAAAAGAAAAGTCAGAAAAGGAGATGGCTGCAAACGAACAAACCTACTACCAGGACCGAAACAGCAGTAACCTCTGCGCCGGAAGAGAGCATGAAACTCCCTGATCCGACCAACAGAGGCCAATTGCAGCAAGAAAAAGAGCCTTAGAAAAACAATCCTGAACCAAAAGAACCACTACAACCCGAGAAGAAAGAAATGAGAGAACCCTGTCCAACGACCAGAATGGCTCGGGTGGCGCATGAGCAGGCCGGAGGTGAAACAATGCACGTGACAGCTTGCAGAATGATGCAGAAGTAACATCAATACCGAACGCAATCTGCAGTGGCTCTGCCTGCACTTCACAATACGAAGTGACCATTTTCGACACAAGATGACGGTCCTGAAATAACCACAAAAAGAAATACAAGACAACCCTATCAAAAACCGAAGTACACCTATGCAGAGATAGAAAATAAGGAAGGACTTCCATGCAACTTCATATTGCGAAGCAAGCAGGTGGGAAACCATCAACGAAGTTACCTGCTCACCATAGAAGTGATGATATACTCGAGTCAGAAAAACTAGACACAAAAACTCGAGGAGAAGAACGAACCAGCCTCGTACCACGCTAGCCTCGTATCTTCTGAAAGATAGCCTCGTATCTTCTGAAAGAGACGGAGCTGCAGGAAGACCCTCGGGTTTGGAAACCAAACAAGCAGCGCCTGAAAGCAAGGCTGGGCCAGCCACCAAGGGGCCAGAAGGACAACTCTCCCCTGGTAAGTCTCCAAGCAAGCCAGCTGGAAGACTTACCTGACTCTGGAGCAACAGCTGAACCGGGGGAAGAGGTATAGGTAACCCCACCACGACCAGTCCGCCAGGACATTTGACACCCTCAGAACATGGACTGCCAATAGAGCCAAAACCCGTG